TACACCCATTTGGTTTCTTCCCTTTCTGGTCCCTGGCGTGTGCCCCGACTAGGGGTCTACTTTTGCTTCATTTCCCTCGGATCCTATAGAAGCCAGAGAAGTGAGTAGAGGTGAAGGTTGGTTGATTACAAGCCCCAGTCACCGCAGTGCTGGGTGCGGGGCAGTCCCTGTGCTAGCTGGCATGGAGGGAACAAAATCCAGAAAGATGGTTCTGGGGAAACATTCTTGAGATACCAGCTAATATTCCCGAACTGGAGACCCTAAGAGACCCTCTTCCAATGACATGGGGGCTTGCCTGCCTTGGGCCGTGGTATCCCCTCTCCTACAGAGTCGTCCCAGTCCTTTTATTAGGTAGGGCCCTATCATTCTTCTTCACCTGAGGTGCCCTTCCAGTTCCTGGAAAGGCAGATGGAAGCCACCCGTCCTCACTCCAGGGTTGAGAAGAGGAACTGAACGTGACGTCCTGACCCTTTCAGAGGCTGCTGGCCTGGCCAGGCTGTGCTTCAGGCCTGAGCGCGGGGCCGTAGGCCTCAGGAGAAGCACCCAGCAAGTCTTATAGCCACAGCTGAGAGTCAAGAAGTCAGGTATGTGCGACTTAAGCTGGCCCACACATGCATACGGCCCGTCTCCACTCAGAGCACACACAGGAGAAGATAGGGGTGACGTGATGCCCCACCTCTCACGTGCACACCCCCAGGTGCCAGTAATGATTCACATCAGCTGTGAGAGAAGCAGAGGATTCAAGTGATAGTTTCCACCCTAGGGTGCAGGCAGCGCCTAACCCAACTAGCAACTCACAGGGAGCTAGAAGCCTCCCTCTGAGAGGGCCTTACCTGGGCATATGCAGCCCTGCGCAGAGCTAGGCAGGCCTCCGGCTCCAACAGCATTAAGCCCCAGGTTGCTACCGGCCCTGTCCCTAACTACATTCGCTCACACAAAACAACCTTGTTGTTAAGTCTCTTGGAATATCAGCTTGACCTGATAACCTTGTGGTTCCATTTATAATAGGATCGTGAGACTGGGATCCACAAGAACTAAAAATCTGGAGCAAGGCCCCATACTCTGTGCAGGCCCTAACAGGGTTCAGTCATGGCCAGAGCCCCATTTGTCCTGATGGCCAGCACTCTGGGGCAAGGAGATGGTGGGCACTCACCGCCTCTCTGGCACCATGTGTGGAGAAGGTGGGGGGCCCCAAAAAAAATGAGGGAAGGGATTGGACCCTGCCCACTGTTCGCACAAGATGGGAAATGAAGTCTGCAGAATTCCTCCAAGCTGGGAGCCACACAGGAAGAGGAGCAGGCAGCCAATCGAATTCATTAAAAGCCATACCTGTTTATATTTTGTGTAGCTCATAGCAGCCGCTTCACCATATCATCCCCCTGTTATTAATTCTTGGGGGCTAAATTATGGGTAACACTATTAAAACATTATCAGAACTAATGAGAAACAATTACTTAGAAAATGAGCCAGGACAAGATTGAGTTGAGAACATCAGTGGTGATCACTGTAGATTAGTTTAATAAATCATCAGGTTCAGGGCAAGACTGACTGTATGCATGCACAGCCTCGTCACGGGAAAATGAAATTGAGATTTTTTTTGCATAATTTTTTCATTAATCTCAATAGGACCCGTGTGGTGTAGATTGCTTTATTCCCCTAATACCTTGCCTGAGGGAGGGGGGGTACCCAATAATGTCTTCATTGTTTTACTGAGGTCTTAATGACAATCTGTGACAAGCTCATTTTAATGTATAGAGAAGTATATCAATAGCCATGTGTTACTGGAAGAGTGAAGGGATCGCCCCATCTGAGCAGGGGGGAAAATCTGCAAGCACCAGTGAGGGAACTGTGGACATCCGGGGGCTTTTGCTTCAGATCCCCAAGTTTCTAACGCCCCTCCCCCCCCATCCCCTCCAGGGCTGGTGAAAGTCTGCCCCAGAAGGAAGACTTCTGATTTGGGTTTGGAAACCACTGTGGTGTTCTGCTGGTCCCAGAACTAAGTGTGTGTTCACCCTGCTAGGACAAGATGCCGCTCTTCTGAGCCAGCAACGCCTTGCAACCCCTAGTTTCCTGGGAGTTGGGAGACTTTCTTTGAAGGGGGGGGCTTGTCCTTCTACTTGGGGGATGCTCTCTGTTTTCACAGCTGCCCCCCGGACCTCCCGTTACTTAAGTGTTCCTTCCTTAAAAAGCGATCGAGGGTACGCAACAATCCCTAAAACTTCTAAGAGGGTCTGGGCATGTGGGTGCAGGTGGGGTTCCGTACCCAGGCCGCGGGGACCCGGCCGCCGGCACCAGGGCGTGGCGCGTGGCCCCCGCCCCGTCCTCGGGCAATGCAGGGAGTGCGCAGTGACCTGCCCTCCACCGTGAAGCGGGGACGCGTTCCTTGGGGAGGGGTGGGGAATGATAGCTTAGACAGCTCCCCGAATGGAGACGTCCGTTACCGTCAGATCCCCAACTTGGCACCCGTGGGAGGCGGTCCGGGCGGGTCCGACAGGCTGCGGGGTTCGTGGCTTGGTGGAACTCGGCGCCTGTTCGGCCGCGCGCGCACGCGCGCGGGGGTCGGCGTCCGCCAAGTCCCCGCGCCACGTCCCCGGGAGCGGCGGGACTCTGCTCTCGCTCCTTCCGAAGGGACGGGGAAGGGAAGGGCACGGCGGGCCCGGAACCCAAGCGCTGCCTGGAAAGGACACCCCAAATCTGGGCCCCCCACCCTGTCTTCGCGCTCGCCACCCGGGCGGCGGCTGGAGCGCAGACCCCGAGACCAAGAGCCCGGCCCCGGGCCTCCTTCCCGGCCCTGCCCACGAGGCGCGCGCAGCCACGGGGCGCCGGGGCTCAGCGGCTGTCGGGGACCGGCCGCGGCCCCCGTGGGAGACGTCGGCTGCGCGGCCGGGGGACCGGTGGGGGGATCGGGTCCCGCTCGCCCGCCACGGGCCGCCCGGACCCTGCGAGCCGGGCCGTAATGGTGGCAGATCAAAGGCCGGCCCGTGTCCCCGCGGAGCCCCGGACAAGCCCCAGCCTTTGTGCGCCGTTGCTAGGAGCCGCAGAAAGCAAGAGAAAGTGTCAGGAGCATGCTAATCAGACTCGTTACAGCGCAACAATAACGTCTCTCTCGGGGAGCCCAGGCCCCGCGCGCCCCAAGCCGGCCCCACACCTGCGTGGGGCCCTCGCGGCCGCCCGGGGAGCCCCGCCCTGCCCCGCCCCGCCTGCACCCCCGACTGGGAGCCGCCGCGGCCCTGGGAGGGGCGCATCGCGTGGGTCCCACGCCCCCACCGTGCCCCGCTGCGGGCCGCCGGGGCGCCGCCGCCCTTTCAATCTGAACATTCACCTGACTCAAGTCAAGAGAGAAAGCCTGAAGTCCGCTTTAACCCACTCTGCCCGTAACCCAGGCACATCCAGACAGAGAGAAAAAACATCTCTCCCTGAGTTTTCCCAGGGAATCGCTTCATTTGTTCCTATAGTCATTCAACAAACCCCAGTTAAACCCACTGGGTGCAAAGTAGTTGTCTTTAAAAATAATAATAATTGGGACTTGTCTCAGATGAACTTTTTGTTAAAAATTAAAATGGCATCCAGGTGCCACTGGCCCACCCCTGTAATCCTAACTACTCAGGAGGCTGAGATCTGAGGACTGCAGTTCAAAACCAGGCCAGTCAGGAAAGCCTGTGAGATTCTTATCTCCAATGAACCACCAAGAATTTGGGAAGTGGAGCCATGGCTCAAGATGTAGAGCCCCAGGACTGGCACAAAAATTAACTAAAATTAAAAATGAGTTAAACTAAAACGGCTTTGTAGATGTCCATAGAGGGAGAGAGGCTGTAAAATAATAGGAAGTCTTAAAAAGAGATGCTATTGGCTACCACAGAGATAATAACAAGGGACATTTGAATTAAGAATTTAAAACATTTGGAAAACCACAAGCCATATGCTTTCACACAGGCCTCTTTCCTGCCTCTCCTCTGTGTCAGGAGTTTGGCCAGGCAGCCGCGATGAGACGATCCTGCACCTTGCCTGTGGTCTGAGGAATGAGGTCAGCCCTTCTGTGTTTGCACACGGCCCCTGAGACTTGCCCCAGGAAACCCACAGCGTTCTGGCTCCTTGCCCTCTCCTGTCCCCTTGGCCATACACAGAGACATCAGTTGGCCAAGGCGAGGTGATTTTCTTCCAGACTTCCAGAACGCTAGGCCAAAGACCAAGATTGCCGTCGCCATGGGGGCCGAACCCCTGCCAGGGCAGCCCCACGGCTGGAGATTCTCTTTCAGTCCCACAGGCTGTGGTGTGCACCACATAATTATAGGAGAACTGGACATGTTCCCCAGAGGTGAGAGCCCTGGGCCTGGAAGGAACTTCGGAGAGCTTTTCACTTATATTAATAAAAGGGAGAGTTAATAGCCTGAAATTCCATCTCACAAAGAGGGGGGGGGGGGGGGCAGGGAGGCTGTAGCATAACAGTTCTGCTATCTGCAAAGGGGGGAAATCAGTGAAAAGTCTGCAGAATGCCAGCTAGGTAGATCGTATGGGTTTTGTTTTGTTTTAAAATCACAAATCACATTGCTTTAGTTATTTAGATGCACTGATAGAATCAAGAGAACTGGAACAGCCAGTGCCCGTGGCTCTTGCCTGCCATCCTAGCTGTTCAAGAGGCTGAGATCAGAGGATAGAGGTTTAAAGCCAGCCCAGGCAGGACATGATGCTATCGCCTTATCACCAATTAACCACCAAAAAGCCAGAGTCGAGTTGTAGCCCAAGTGGTAGAGTGCTAGCCTTAAGAGAAAAAAAGTTAAGGGAAAACACCTAGGCCCTAAGTTCAAGTCCCAGGATAGGAACGAATACATGCACACACACACACACACACACATAAGCACACAATAAAGGCCAAATGAATTTCATCTAGGTTCTAAGCATTATAGCCGAGGCTGGGAACCCCACAACGGCACACTGCTTCAAAGAGTACTTCCATCAAATGTACCCCATTTTCTCATTTGCTTCTATTGGCAGCTGCTGGATATGTTCTCACGGGAGAACACTGGTGACAAATTCCTGTGCATCCTGGACACCCGGTGAATGCCAGGAGAGCTCGAAGGCTCTGTGGTTGGTAAGGATCTCCTGGCTCCACTGCTGGAAATGGAAATTTCCTTCAGTGCCAGCTCAGAAAGAAATGTGATCATATTTGTTCAGGCCCCTGATTTGGTGGATGGAAACTGCAGTTCCAGGGCGATTCGCTGGTACTGACTCCTGGCTGAGGGCAGCACCCGCCACATGGGAAGCGACCATAGATGCTAACGGCACTTGGTCATGTGACTGCAGGCGCAGCGGTGGGGCTTGCTCAAGTGCATACTGTTGGCAAATCCAATCCTGGACACAACTCAAGTTTCCAGATTTCCTCCACTAACCCACACAGCTACTTGGGAACTCCTCAGATTCTGTTCCTTAATTCTGTAATGTAAGCAAGCTCCAAAGGAGCTTTTTGAAGCAGAGAACAACCGCCAAAGCCTCTTTTTCCACAACTGCCTTCCTCAGAGACAGTGCTTGACCCTGCAAGAACATCTGAACTCACCACAATTCAAACATACCATCATCAAAAGCAGCCAGAGTGGGCCTGGTGGCACACTCCTGTAATCATAGCACTGGGAAGGTTAAGGAAGGAAGGGCTAGAGTTCATGGCCAGTCTGAGCTACATAGTAAGGGCCTGTCTCAAAAAAAAAAAAGGAACAAAACAAATGAACAAACATCCTTACCAAAAAATAAAAACAGTCAGGAAACTGGGGGCTGGTGCTTCATGCCTGTAATCCTAACTACTCACGAGGCTGAGATCTGAGGATCGTGGTTCAAAGCCAGCTCAGGTAAAAAAAAAATTCCAGTGAGACTTGTTTTTTTTTTTTTCATCAGCCATGGGACTTGAACTCTGGGCCTGAGTGCTGTCCCTTAGCTCTTGAGCTCAAGGCAAGCACTCTACCACTTGAGCCACGGCACCACTTCCAGTTTTCTGAGTGGTTTACTGGAGATAAGAGTCTCACAGACTTTCCTGCCCGGGCTGGTTTTGAACTGCGATCCTCAGATCTCAGCCTCCTGAGTAGTTAGGAGGAGACTCTTATCTCTAACCACTCAAAACCCAGAAGTGATCCTGTGGCTCAAAGTGGTAGAGCACTAGCCTTGAGCAAAAGAGCTTAGGGACAGCACCCAGGCCCTGAGTTCAAGCCCCAAGACAGACAAAAAAAAAAAAAAGCCAGAAAGCTCAGCTCTACCCATTTTGCAAACACAGTCCCCTGAACCTTCTGCAGAGTTTCCAGCTGGGCTGGTTTGAAAAGCTGAAATGTCTTGGGTTGTCCAGGAAAGAAGTCCCTGGAGAGGAATGAAGTAGCAGGATCCAGACGTCAAGGACAGAGAGGCATCACCAAGTCAGCTGTGCGGGGTCCTCTCTCTCTCTCTCTCTCTCTCTCTCTCTCTCTCTCTCTCTCTCAGCACACACACACACACACACACACACACACACACATGGCCCGGCTTCCCTGACCTACATCATTCTTTACAGTTTTGCTCATCCTATCATTTTCCCTCCGTCTCCTGTCAGTGAACTCCTTGTCCTTTTCCTTTACCTTCTTGTCTTTTACCTTCCCACCCTTCCCTTTCCACAATCCCCCAAACAGAATGACCAAGGCAGCAAAGAAAGCAATGAAAATGGGCGAAATTTCTACCTGAACTCTGTGTTCATGATTTGGGGGTCAATTTGGCTTCTTAAAGTATGGACTGTTGGGAGATAGCCCCAAATGGTTCGTTTCCTGTGAACTTGGCTTGGGATGTGTGGTACGCCTATTTCACTGGAGAGACCCTGAGTGCAGATGACAGCTAATATGCTTTGGGAATCAAGGTAGAAATGTTGATGAGACTGCTAACTAATCAGTAAATTAAATATTGCGGCTAGAGCTGTTCTTCCCAATGTCCTACATCAGATCACACTGTCAGGATGCAAAGCCAACATCCAGATTCTGTTTAAGTGATAACAGTAGGGCTGGGGCCTGGCACTGGTGGCTCATGCTTGTAATGCTAGCTATTCAGAAGGCTGAGATCTGAGGATCCCTGATGGAAGCCAGCCCAGGCTATAAGACTTGGGCTGTGACACACACACAAAAGCCAGAAGTTGAGCTGTGGCACAGGTGGTAGAATGCTAGCCTTGAGAAAAAAAAAAATGGGCTGGGAAGGTGGCTCAGTGGTAGAGCACTTGCCTTGCATGCATGAGGCCCTGGGTTCGATTCCTCAGCACCACATAAGCAAAAAGAAAAAAGCCGGAAGTGGCGCCGTGGCTCAAGTGGTAGAGTGCTAGCCTTGAGCTGAAGAGCTGAGGGACAGCGCCCAGGCCCAGAGTTCAGGCCCCACAACCGGACCCAAAAAAAAAAAAAAAAAAAAAAGCTAAGAAACAGAGCCCAGGCCCTGAGTTCAAACCCAATATCAGCAATAAATGAGACAGGCAGGAGGTATAGGTCAAACAGCAGAACCACCTGCCTATCAAGCATGAAGTCCTAAGTTCAAATCTTAATACCACATACACACATAAAAATGATGGAAAGTACAATCTTGGTACTTCATTATCTTTCAGAAGAAATTTAGTAAACAAACTGAAACTTATATGAGTCTCAAGTAATGCTTGTAATAAAGTTTAACTTTATGTAAAGTTTACATGTACATACAAACTTATAAAATATATATGCTATATTATTTACATATCACTTATAAAAATTGACATATATGACATACAATTTGAGATTTCTATTCTACCCATAATATTATTCCTTTTTTTCTGATGACATTACCAGAGAGGTAGCATCAAATGATTAGTATAAAAATTTATGAGAAGCAGCTGGGTGCTGGTGGCTCACGCCTGTCATTCTAGCTACTCAGGAGGCTGAGATCTGAGGCTTGCGGTTCAAACCCAACCCGGGCAGGAAAGTCTGTGAGACTTTTATCTCCAATTAATCACAGAAAAAGCCTGAAGTGGCACTGTGGCTCAAATAGTAGAGTGTTAGCCTTGAGCAAAAGGAGCTCAGGGATAGCACCCAGGCCTTAAGTTTAAGCCTCAGGGCTGAAAAAAAAATTATGAGCAGCATTCCATTTTAGAAATGTTAACCCCCCCCCCCCAAAAGATCATTTTTATAACTGCTTCACTAAAAGCTTTTCTGAAAAGTCTTTGTGTCATCTAAGGAATTTCACATTGTGAAACATATTTGTGAGAATACTTAATGTAAATATTTCAAAATAAGTAGCATGATTTTACCCGTATCACCTCTGAAAATGAGTGCCAGTTGACGATTTGTTCAAAATCTTCCCAGGCCTTCTTCTTTCCTCCTCAGAGGGCATCTGTGTTCTATTAGGGCTGTGTGTGTGTGTGTGTGTGTGTGTGTGTGTGTGTGTGTGTGTGAGAGAGAGAGAGAGAGAGAGAGAGAGAGAGAGAGAATGAACTTTCATAGCCTCTGGTGCAGCATCTATAAAAATTGTGATGATTTGAGGACTGTACCTTTTTGTTGTTGTTGTTTTAAATTTCTAAAACTTCTCTTTTTTACTCTTTTATTATCTTTCAACAAAACGAAGACTGAAGAACCGCTTTAAGAAATGTTATACGTTCTCGCCGAGCCCAGTCTGCTGACCTTCAGGCCATGGAGCGAAACCTTTCTTTTAAGTCAAGCATCCCCCATTGGGAAGCACTCCAGCTTTTTCTTTTTATGAGGAATTTTAACTGCTGGACTTAATTTAATTATTGTATTTTGTACATACTCCCAGAAGCCCCAGGGCATGAGCTTTGCTTTTTTCCAAACTTTCAAATAAATATCTTTAGAAATGCATGTTTCTGATGGCAGTGTAACTTCTTTGACTTAGATTTCGGATCCGAAGTCCAAACGTGACTCTTGCTATTCCTGCCTGTGCACACATCGCTTCCCACCTTAGCCCTCTTCAGCAGACAGCTGGGGGCCGGCACCCACAGGCTGCAGACATTTGCATCCTTGGAGTGGGTCTCCAGACTTGTCTAAATGAGAAAATAACCATCTCTAAAGCTGAGCTGCATTTTAAAAATGGGCTGGCTCTGGGGCATGGCATGTAATAAGAAGGTTCCCCGAGCAGACACTGCCAGGAATGTTGGAACACACTGGCCCCCATGACCGCCGCTGCCACCATCTTGTCTATAGGGTTTTTAGAAAGTTCCTATACACAGATTCATAGGTTGATCCTCCAGCCTCCCTCAGCATAGGCTCAGTGGGAGTCTGTACATGCATGTACGTGTGTGCATACACACACACACACACACACACACACACACACACACACAGAGCTGTCATCCAGAGCTAAGACCAAAGATTCTGTCTTGTGCATACTTAAAATACATACAGATTATACAACTATGTAAAGATGATTTTTAAAAATGGAATAAAAAATACATATAGAAAAAGGTAGTATTTGTCTGGGAGTCAGGTGATGCTGTCAAAACAATCTGCTGAGCTGGGCACTGCTTTTCATAAAAACAGAGGCAAAGACATCAGCCTAAGGAGTCCTTAGTCCCCAGAAGGCCACTGGGCCAGGTGTTCTCTGGGAGGGCCTCAGGAGGGAGGGAGGCGACTGTGCTACCAGGCAGAGGCCTCTGGGAGAATCCTGGCAAAGCAGCTTAGCCGCCATCATCACCTTTCCTCCCCTGAATACCTTCGCCCTTTTCCTTTCAGGCTGGCCTGCATGTAGGTCATCCCGACAAGGGGCTCTTCAGTCATTTTGACTGGAGGGCCTGGGCCTCTTCTGACGCCCATGACCTCCCAGGAGAGAGCCTGGAAGCTTTGATGGAAATGATTTGCCTTGGGCTAAAAGACCTCTGGTTGGCCACTCTTTACCAGCCTAATAAGGCCAGGACCTAGGACATAGATGAAAACCTTTTTTCTTTCTTTTATTTTTTTTTAGCAAAGGAGATTTGGGGATGGAATGATTCCAACTATAGAGTTACTATGAGAGTTATGGTAAGTGAACACATGGCAGTCCTCCATAGAATCTCTTCACTTCTGTAGCAATTATTTACCACCTGAGGTAAGTGGGGTGACATCAGCATGTGGGTGGCAGGGAGGTGAGCATCCTGCAGAACCCCTCCCATGCGTGCGCTGCAGAGCAAGTGCAGAGCTAAGGCCTTTCCTACTGCTTTTCTCTCTGTCTCTGTTCCACTACTCTCTTCGCTCTCTCTCTCTCCTTCCCTCCTTCCCTCCCTCCCTCCCTCCCTCCCTCCCTCCCTCCCTCCCTCTCTCTCTCTCTCTCTCTCTCTCTGGTGTATAGCGGGGGGGGGGGGGGGGGGTGGGTGGGCCTTGAACTCAGGGCTCAAAGCTGGTACCCTACTCCTTAACCCACAGCTTCACTTCAGTTTTCTGGTGGTTAATTGGAGGTAAGAGTCTCATGTACTTTGCTGCCTGAGCTGGCTTCAAACCAGGATCCTCAGATCTCAGCCTCCTGAGTAGCTAGGACTACAGACATGAGCTACCAGAACACAGCTTCTTTATTATCTTCTTTATTATCTCTTAAAACAAACATGCAAATTAGCCAAGAACCTAGCTCCAAGTCTAAGACAAAAAAAAAAAGAAAGACAGAAAGAAAGAAAGAAGGAAAGAAAGAAAGAGGGGGGATGTGGATGAGGAGGAAGATGTCAAAAAATGTCTTAGCAGGAGATTCTTGGGAAACCATAAAGAAAGTTTACAAAAAAGTTAGACATGTTTAATGGTAAGGACAAATGCTGATTTACCTTGAACCAAGTGCTAGTGGCCCTGGGCCTCAGCTTCACTATCTACAAAAATTTTTTGGTGTATTTTCTTCCTCTGAACTTGTTGTAGTTACATTGTAACAATAATGGCAGCTACCATCTGTCCAGGGCCAACTGTTCCTCATATATATGTGTGTGTGATGCACATATTTTGGTCTCAAACAACTGTATGAGGTCATCACATTATTGTTACAGTGTGACTACAACAATTTCAAAAGAAGAAAATACACCAAAATATTTTTGTATTTTCCTTACTCCCCGCCCTTCCCCCCACATGGTACTAGGATTTGAGCTCAAGGCCTTATCTTGCTAGGTAGGTGCTCTACCTGTAGCCCTTTTAGCTCTGGTTATTTTTGAGATACAGCCTCACTCCTGCCCAAGCAAGGGAGAGCAGGCACATGCCATCATGTGTAGCTTCCATGAACACGGGTTCTCATAGACTTATCTGCCTGGGCTGACCTGGAACCTCAATCCTCCTATTCTCAGTCTTCTAACTGGTTAGGATTCTAAGTGTAAGCTACCTACCCTCAATTTCCTTTGTCACACATTTGTATTTCCAAGTTTGTTTGTCTTTTCATTTTTATTTATTTATTTATTGTCAGTCATGGGGCTTGAACTCTGGGCCTGGGCACTGTGCCTCAGCTCTTCAGCTCAAGGCTAGCACTCTACCACTTGAGCCACAGTGCCACTTCCAGCTTTTTCTGCTTATGTGGTCCTGAGGAATTGAACCCAGAGCCTCATGCATGCAAGGCAAGCACGCTACCACTGAGCCTCCTTCCCAGCCCCCCAAGTTTTTTTTTATTAAGTGCATGTCTTTTTTTTTTTTTTCTGGTCTTGAGGTTTGAATTCTGAGCCTGCGCACTGTCCCTGAACTCTTGTATTCAAGGCTGATGTTCTACCATTTGAGCCATTCTTACACTTCCAGTTTTTTGTGGTTAATTGGAGATGAGACCTTGCCCAGCCTGACTTCAAATGGTGATCCTCAGATCTCAGCCTCCTGAGTAGCTAGGATAAGCACCTGGCTTATAGGTCAATTTCTTAAACCTTAGTTGGAGTTAATTACAAATAAACATCCCCTGGAAACACTGCTTTGATCCTGACAGGGTCATGCCTAAAAGACTGGAGTTGAGAATCCCAGACAATATCTGGAGCCAGAGGTGCAGCTGTTTGCACTCTGGGCATAGCTGTCTTCCCAGGGAATCTGACCTGTGTCTCAAGATTATCTCTCTTCCCTGGGATGGATGGACTTGTATGGGCTGAATATCAGAAAGAGCCCCAGAGAGTGTCAGAGTTAGCAAAGTTTCAGCCCACTCTGTCACCCAGTCTGTCCAGGGTCCAAACAGACGTTTCCTTCTCTATTGGACAATACCTGTTATTCAGTTCCTGTCCTCAGTGGCGGCAGAGAATTAGAAAAGTAGTCCAGAGGGTGCTGGAGGCAAAGTCTCCATGGAAGGAAAGTGACAGTAAGAGAAATCCTGAAAAGCAAGAGTTTGAGCCCCAGCTCTCCCTCCCAGGGCTCCTTGCGGGGGCAGAGGGCCGGCTGCTCTGTTTACACACCTGGGCTCAGTACAGGGGAGGGAGAGGGAGGGCTGACCATTTGTGGGATCAGTGCTGCTTCCAGACTGCACTGCTACAGGCAAGTCTTCAAAGGCATTCCAGAAGCCAGAGTATACACTCTGTCATCGCTTCATAACACTAGTAGCTTTCCTCTAACACACAGGATGAAATAGCTCCACCTCGCCAGGAGGGAGCCAGGGTTTCTCCCATCCACCATCACTACAGCCTCTGACTTGAAATGCTAGACCAATGCATACGGACAATGAATGTAAAGCAGGGGGAAGATGACCCTGCACTCTGACTTTAGCACGCAAGTATGAAGGGAGGGCATGGGTGCAGTCACAGATGATCTGTTCTTGTTGAACAGAAAAGAGTATCGCGTTCTAAAATACCAACCTTGGCCTTGGGAGGTTGGAATTAAACCAGAGGCAGAAAGTTCATCTACTTTTCTCATCCCCAGGGTCTGGCATGGCATCCGCCCTGATAATTTTTCATCAACGGCATGAGTTAATGAAGGAACACATGGGAAATATTTTCCTCTCAATTGTGTTCTATGCTGGAGATAAATATACACACAGTCTCACTAGAAGCCCATCTAAGTGATTGAGCCAAACCCAATCAGTAAAACTTATCACAAATACAATGTGATTCATTCTCAAATCACAGCACTGAGTGCTCTCAGTCAGCACTGTGAAGAATGCATGTATAAACACCTTCTTCACATAAGCATATTCAAATCTAATCCTTCTGAAGTCACCATCTATCAGAAAACCAAACAAGAAGCAAAGGAAGTATAATGCTCTAAAGCATAATGCTCTATGGAGAATGTATATAACAGAGAGGTAGTACTGTGGCATTTAATCACACACACTGGCATGAAAATGAGGTCACAAAACAGTGTGATCTTAGACAAGTTTTTTGTCTGTTTGTTTTTACACTCAGGGCCTCACATTTGCCACTTGAGCCACATCTCTAGCCTGTTTTTTGTTTTGTTTTGTTTTTTTTCAGTTGTGAGTCTTGAACTAAGGGCCTGGCTGCTGTCTCTGAGCTTTTTTGTTCAAGGCTAGTACTCTTCCACTTTGAGCCATAGTCCACTTCTAGTTTTCTGGTGGTTAATTGAAGGTAAGAGTCTCACAGACTTTCCTGCCCATGTTGGCTTTGACCCATGATCCTCAGATCTCAGGCTCCTGAGGATTGCAGGTGTGAATCACCAGCACACAGCTTCTAGCCCTTTTTTGTTGTCACCGGTTTTGAATAGGTTCTCTCACTTTTTGCCCAGGCCAACTGGATTACCATCCTCCTATTTATGTTTCCTGGGTAGCTGGGATAACAGATGCATGCCACCACACCCAGCTTTTTATTGGTTGCAGTGAACTTTTCCTAACTTTTTGCCTGGACTAGCTTCAAACTGAAATTCTTCTGATCTCCATAGCTGGGCTTATAGGTGCGAGCCACCATGTCTAGTTTATGCAAGTTAGCTTCTAGGCTTCTGTTGTCTCATTT